TTTGACCAGTGTGAGTTACATGTCAAACATACTAAGATTTCTGTTGAAGGTGTTCAGAAAACTCTGCATTTTGTCAGCAACTTAAACCCTACTGAGCATTACAATACTATATGGCATAAAATACAGCTGGTTCCTTTATGATTTTTCGCATACTATGTTATCATCTGCGCAGAGACGGTGAGGATGGCGATGGAATTTGTTTACTTTAGCTTAAAATTACAAATCCTAACTGTCAAGATATTTATTATCCAGTAGTGTTTATGACGACGAACACCTGTATTTCTAAAGATTTCAAATATTCACCCAATTCTTTCCACTATTTATTTATACTTAGAAATACACATAAACACACCCATACAGATGTCGAGATTATCCTGAAACCAGGCTCTTCACTAATGACTGACGATTTGTCAGGCAATAGATGACTCAAATGAGATAAAATGATAAAGATACTATAACAATCTATTGAACATTTGTATTCACAATTCGAATTTGTTTGAATGAATCATTGGTGTAATTTTATTGGTTATTTAGTCTCGAAGGCAAATGTTGGGAAATTCTGTTACATTAACTCCTTGATGATATGAGTCATAACAATTCATTAAATAGTAATTTATTATTTGTATGACTAGATTGTTATTAATATTCTCTACAGGTGTTGTTTTATTGTATAAGAAATAAGAAATGTAAACAGTTGTCATGGTGATGATATTACAATGGCAATAAACATTGAATTTTATTTATTAAAACAAGAAATGATTCTGATTTTATACCATTCAATTAGTTATCATCTATTGTTATTTTATTCCTTTTTGGATAAATATCTAATTTTTATGTTATGCTTAAGATGATAAAAATACATGAAAAAGGCGTATCATTTAACCTAGCTAGGATGACTGAAGAAGTTCAGCTAATAAAAGCCGGATTCATTCATAGATTCGTGTGTATTACATATTATAAAATTACTTGTCTTTGGTGCGTCACAAAGAGCATTTTCAACAGGCCACTGAAGAGTTCTATCAACAGTTATCTCCACTGGCTCTCTACTGAATATCACAGAGTCAGAAAGAATTAGACACAAACAACTCTGGGAACAAATAAACCGAGAATCTATTGCTCAGCAAACATGTAGAAGATAATGACGTTGCATCGGATGCACACTGAGGCGACTGTCGAATGACATTGTGTGCCAGGTCACCGCTCAAGTGGGAGCTGAATGGGAAATACCAAGTTGAGCATCCGAGAGTGACATGGAGGAGATCGTGTGAGTAGAAGATGAAGGTTTATGGGCAACCGTGAGGCCAGCTGAAGACGACTGCAGAGAATGGAATAAAAAGTGGAGATCTGCTGCTGAAGCCCTATGTCCCATTTTGGAACCCAAGGGAAACCTACAGTTATCACTTGTAGTGCCTGTTGCACCATGAATCATTCTACATGATTCCGGTTCCTTAGATAAATTATTTATTGTTCTGTTGATTAGTTCAAGTCAAAAATGGATGTTCTGTGTTCCCCTGTGCTAATCATACTTCCGCAATAGGCTCACTTTCCTTTTCATGAAACTACTTACTGTACAGTGTGTGATTTAGTTTGGAATGCTTGACTTGGTTAAACAGGCGTTGGCGATTGACTTATGAAATCACTGTGCTTCTGTTTTGAGCCTATATCTGCCTAATACAACCCAGATAACTGGATAATACCGTAAACCTCACACACAATGTGCAGCTAAGTGGTTTATAAAAAGAAAATTCTGTACCCTCTAATTAATAAATATTCAGAACTAGTAGCAGGGTTGGCTGTAAAAATTATGCAAAATAAAACTTTGCCGATCATCAGTCATTTTGCCTAATAAGTCAAGTAGTTCAGCGTAGAGAAGGATTGAAATTCATTGATTTCTGTACACATAATTTAGGAGGCGTGTGGTTTAACTAGAAAGCTGTGACAACATCAAGAGCTGACAGAAGTTGAAATTTGCGATATATATATATATATATATTTATATATAACGCAACTGCTAGCCTATGTCACGGGCGAGTACCTGATACCTCACGTGATTTGTTGAACCTCCGTGGTTAAAACTTCTCGCTACAATTCCGGTTAACTTCCTGTGTATAGGGATTCAATTGGCTACATGTATGAGCACGAGTTGACATCAATTAGAGAACCACTGGAAAAGCTAGGAGTACTAGAAAGCTGTTTCGTCGTAGTTTGGGACTCTTCATTAGTAAACACTCAGGGCCTTCTGGTTACAAGGCGAGCTAGCTCGTAAACCATTCAACCACCGGAAGCCAATCCATTAGCTGAAGAGTCTCAAACTAGGAAGAAACAGCCGCCCAGTACTCCGAGGCTTTCCAGGGGATCCCTAACTGATGTTAACTCGTGCTCAAACCTGCAGCCAATTGAATCCTTGCAAACCAGCAATTAAGAAGTTGCAATTCACAGGTGAGTGAGTTCCATCCGGCTGAATGACCTGATAACCTGAAGATTCTAAGCTCTATCTCTGGTGGGGTGGTGGGTGCATACTGCTTACGAGTTTCAAACTAGGATGAAATAGCTGTCCAACGCTCCCTGGTTTTCGATATTGCCTAACTGTTGTTAGTTGCTGACGAAGTCTAAATGCCAAATTCCTATATATGCCCATAGTATAAACATTGAATAGCGTTGCTTCACAGCTATATGAAATAATTGAGGAGTACTCATTAGTGTTGATTTTGTGGCCAATCATTTGGACGAGTGTGTAATTCACTTATGAACTGTGGTAATTTGAAATGCTTCACTTTTCGTGCAAAGTTCCGCACTGAAAATCCATTCAGTCAGTTCCTGATAAATATTTTGCAATAATATAATACGGAATTTTTATTGAGATTAAGTAAATTTCAACTTTCGTCATGGCTAAATAACTATTTTTTTTAAATGGCTCCACAGTGCTGCCCACAGTCTTTTGTCTCTTCAATACATGGTCTGCTTCATATGTGACACTCGGACACACAACCTGTCTCTTCTCAATGGAGTCCTACTCTAGAGTCTAGAGTGTTAATTTACTTAAAATTCTCTTGAGTATATGTATATCTAATCCATCCGCCTCGATTTTCTTCTGCATATATCTGTTGAGTAGGCGGGTCTTCTGAACTGTTAGTATTACACGTTTCAGAAGTACTTCAATTATCCACCATCTTTAATGGTATAAGTATAAAACTTGGGCACTGTGGTAGAGTATAACTCCGTTATAGATAAGAATTTATTTTGACGAAGTGTCACACAGTGTTGTACAGTAATATTAACTGATGACCACTCTTCGAGCACAATATATTATTGCTCATAATCATATCAAGCTACTCACACAACTTTTTCCTTCATTTATATACATGTGTGGAATTGGCCAGATATTTGAATAGTACATTTAATTCTACTCCAAAAATGTGGTGAATATATGTAGATGACCTATGTAGTTGACCTCACTTACAGTCATTGCAGGGTATTTTGTAAATTATATTATTTTTATTTCCGTTATGCTTCACATCTACTATCTTTAAATTCCAAGCCAAAATATATAGACAAACAGAAGGTGTAGCAATGGGATCACCAATATTCCCTGTCGTAGCAGATATATTTACGGACAGTTGGGAAAATATTGCTCTTAATACATTTAATTCCCTTCCAAAAATATGGTGGAGATATGTGGATGACATTTACAAAGTGTTAAAAACAGAACATGTCTCTAGCTTCTTGAGACACGTAAACTCCCTAGTAGAGGGAATAAAATTCACATTTGAATCGGAAAATGAACAAGGAGAATTAGCTATGTTAGATTGTAAAATAAAATGAATAGAAGAAGGTAAACTAGACACTAGCGTTTATAAAAAACCAACGCATTCTAATAGATATTTAGACTTTAATTCATCTCATCCTTTAACTGTTAAGGCAGGCTTAGTTAAGTGTTTAACAAACCGAGCAATAGCACTAAGTAGCACAAAAAAAGACCTAAATGATGAAATGAAACAGATAGAAGAAGCGTTGGTGTTGATAACTAACTATCCTATAAAATTCATTAAGAAGATCGAAAAACACCAAAAGCAAAATAAAAATAATGGTGAAACTAGTAATGATAACATAAATAAGAGAGAATATAAGTCATCTACTGTTATACCATATAAAGAGGAGACATCTGAGACCCTCCCTACGTAGGATTCTCAAAAGAGCAGGAATTAGAGCGGCATTCAAATCTACGAACTCACTCGGAGACAAGCTATGTAGGTTAAAGAACCCTAAAGGTTGACCCACTAAGACAAAATAATATGATTTACAAAATACCCTGCAATGACTGTGAGTCAGGTCAACTACATAGGTCAAACCAGTAGGTCGGAGGTACTCAGATTGTCGGAACATAAGAATTCAGCTAAGGTAAGAATGGTTGACCCCGAGAAGATAAGTAATTTAGAAAAAAGCTCAGCAATTGCACTGCATGCATTAACACACAACCACACAATAGGGTGGGAGAGGTTAATATTTTAAGAAGTAATATGGTTAGGTGGAGAGTGAGAGAGATTGATTACTGAATACTGGTTCATCGAGTCTATAGCCAACACATGCAGCAGAAATGACTCAACGCAAATACCAGAGATATGCATGGAACATATTATTACCACCAGTCAGTCAAATCAGAAGAGGATAATAAATAATCTCAAAATTTTATTTCAGTTATGACTACAAAAAACACTCGCCTTATTTCCCATCTAATTGTAATTGATCAATAACACTCATATTATTATTTCTAAATGTGCATTATCCTATGTTGATTTTTATTCAAATATCTGGTCAATTCCATAGAGGTATATAAATGAAGGAAGAGAGTTGTGGGAGTAGCTTGATATGATTATGAGCAATAATACATTGTGGTCGAAACGTGGTCATCAGTTAATATTACTGTGTAACACTGTGTGACACTTCTTCAAAATAAAATCTTATCTATAATGGAATCTTTAATGGTATTATTAAGAAAAATAATGAGTAGAATAATCGAATCAGCAGTTAGGGTATGGCAATCAAATCTATTTCCTTCAAACTGATGCAAATCACTGATCACTGAATAAAGATCCAGATCTTTTTGGTGGTTATCACAGACAGATCAATGACTGATTTAACACAACACACTTGAGATAGGCAAGACACTTTTTGACTTCAGTGATTCTGGATCAACATGTTTGCAGGATAATACGAGCTCGTTTTATTTCGTGGATTCTCATCAACTGCATACATCTTTTTCATAATTACTTCGAGTTATAGATAGAAGGAATAAGGAACATAATTCCAGAATTTGATGTAGGTAGACAGATTATTCAGTGTCAAAAACAACTAATTATATATAGTGGAATTAGATAAGAGGGTTAAGAGTTCAGATTTCTATTGGGAAACAACACAGATTGGTTAGAGGCATATTACAGGATCAGGGTCAGATTATTAATTATTGTTCCTTATGCCTTCTATCTATAACTCAAAGTAATTATGAAAAAGATGTATGCAGTTGATGAGAATCCACGAAATAAAACGAGCTCGTATAAACCTGCAAACATGTTCGTTCTTTCTCGCTTCAAACTAATAAAGTGAACCGGTTGCATGAGATTGTGGATCAGTCAAACTTTTCAACATCTTCCTGGTCCTGAAGCCCAGATATAAAGATGTGTGCTCAGCACTGTTCATTATTTCCCCACCCTGAAAGCTGTATCTGACTACTGGCCAAATAAGATGTGCCTTAGAAAAGTGTTATGCTAACTAAAGGTTTCTAAATAAGCTCATACATATATGTAGACGATTATAAACAGTTGCCGCCTCAAGTGAAATTGATTAATAACATACACTGAGGATGTCCATCGGGGTTGAAGAGTCACCTACATTTCGATGATACTTTTCTTCAGATTTGTTGGTTAGCAATGCCGGAGTTCTCCAAATTAGGTAGGTAGGGTGAGATCATCTGTCTATTGGTGTTTTGTGTCTAATTATTATATCTCTCTAACTGATACCGTTTTACAATGGATCAATGCCCCTTCTGCTGAGTAATCTGTCATTCCCCTGGGACATATTTTGACACGTCATGAGCACAGCGAGGATCTGGACTTCGCCGATGATATATGTCTGATTTCCCACAAACTGGAAGGTATGCAAGTGAAAAGCAACAAGTTGGCGGAAGAAACATCAAAGATAGCAAGGACTTCAGGTGAACATAGAGAAAACAGAGGTGATGAAGATTCCTGGCCAACACCAACAGCAACAACAACAACAGGCAACAATCAGCCAGCATAAATGGGAGGAACCTGAAAGAAACAACCTCCTTTACCTACCCGGGAAGCATCGTTTCAAATACAGGAGGAACTGACGAGGATATCAAACCAGCGAAGATCGGGAAAGCAAGACAAGCTTTCACTACTCTCAAGTCTGTGTGGAGGTCAACGGTGAGCACTCAGCATCAAAATAAGATCCGGATTTTCAACTCCAATGTGAAGTCAATGCTACTCACTATACGGATCAGAGACTTGCCCAGAGCGTCATAAAGAGCATCTCAAACAAACTACAGATCTTCATCAACATTTTTCTTCGCTCAATACTCAAGATCAGATGGCCGGCCAGAAAAGATCAACAACAGAGATCTTTGGCAATGAGCCAACCAACACAGTAGGAACGGATTGTGAAACAAATAGGCAGGAAGAATTGGAGATGGATTGGCCATACTCTGAGGAAACCATCAAGTGAGTGACATCATTAGACAAGCCATTGCTCGAGTGGAACCCGAATGGAATGGGAAGCGGCGAGTTGGTCGTTAGTGCAAGGGTGACTTGGAGGAGGTCATGCAGAGAAGAGGAGATGAAAGCGTGTGGGCAAACTTGGAGCCAGGTGAAAACTCTAGCAGAGAACCGAACGCAATGGAGAAGCGCGGCTCAAGCCCTATGTTCCTCTAGGAATTGAAGTAAATAATAATAATATAATAATAATGAGCACTGCGGGACGAGGAACCTACATCATAGTGTACAGCTTTTACTTGCGCAAAGGGCTTCAGTCTGTAGACCCTGAAGTTTCAGAATTGGGCGTTACTGTTTTCTACAGGATGAGAATTTCCAGCCGTCTCTTATCTTTTCCAAACTTGCCGTCATCTGGGTAAGGTTTAGGCGTAAGTCTGTCAGCTGGGAATCGAACCCCATACCGCATATACTGTATTGTTATTACTTGCATTAACCTAAATCTCCTCTTTTAATTTTTTTTTCTCTTACAGCGAAATGAATTCAGTGGAGTGGTACGCTTCTTTTTCCGTGGAGATGACGGCAAATATCAGAGTAAATGTTTACGCATCACAAATACAGCGACTGCACGACAACTAGTGAATATACTTGTAGAAAAATTTCATCCAGATTTACGTATGCTTACAGCTGGACGTTATGCAATCTATGAATATCATTCAAATACTGGAGGTAATTGCTAAGTTGTGCAGTGGAAAATTCTGTGTATTTAAGAGAGAGAGAGCTGATTTCTTTTTGATTGGATTCTAGTGAGTAACTAGTGTAATGTGTGAAGTCCTTGGTGCTCGGTGCAGACTGAATTCTATCAGTCATTCAAGGTTGCAATGTGGCCACCATGCCACTAGGTGGCTAGCCATTACGGTGCACTGTGAATTGTTGGTATTAGAGGGTAATGGCGAGCCACCTAGTGGCATGGTGGCCATATTACAAGCTTGACTGACTGATAGAATTCAGTCTGTACCAAACGCCAAGGACTTCACACATCACACTAGTTACCGATTAGTGTCCAATCAAAATATCCGATTCAGTCAGGTCAATCGTGAGCCTGAATAGCTCAGTAGTAACGTCTCTGACTGTGGGCGGCAGTGGGTGACGCGAGTTCGAATCTCAGAAGGGACTTGAGTTCCTTCGAGGTTGCAGGTACGCCTTACTGACTGGTGAGTGCCCACTAGCATGAAACCTAGGTCTCGACAAGATTTCCTGTGACCGATCGCCTCCAAGCATCTAATACCAACAAGTCACAGAGTTGATTTCAATTAGAGTAGACATTTATCTTGAATGATACTGGCTGAACACTATAAACTATTTTCTGGAATTAGTATAGGGAAGTATGATTACATATCATTTGATAGTAGCTAGTGGCGAAAACCATGGAATGAGTTTCGTCCTACTAGCGACTCGTCAATCGGACTCAAATGAGTCCGACTGAAACTCAAAATCCATCGTCTTAAAAATCAGAATGTTATTCATACTGCGGTGGTGTGATTCAGACAATGTGTTTCGACGGAATATTATTCTCACATGTCCCTACAGTTCAATGCTGCATCAGCAACGGAAAGCTATATATATTTGAACGGTCGGTCGGTCGGTTTTCGACATAGAACTTTGCACATATGTGCGGTAGTTCAAGTCGCCACAATCCATGTAGCACACAAAGGAAGAGAAGAAAGTAGAAGAAATGCATAATAATATAGACAGTAAACAGAGGTGTGAGACAAAGGAATAGTAATAACGAAGAACAAAACAGTTTCATTGGAAATTATAAGTCACAAGGAGTGGATGCATCTGCGCCAGCCAGCCATTGAGAACGATTTTGAGCCATGTCACCAATTGTTTCCAACCATTGGGTTTACGGTCCCGAGGACCCCAACCAGTCAGGAAGTCTACATCTTCCTACGTGACTGGCTTAGACTAACTGTTGTAAACTTCATTGACTGATGAGGCCGTGTTTTCGTTTGACCACCACTAGCTAGCTCTTTTCCAGCCTGACCCTATATCAGCTAACATTGCCCCGATTGTCGAGGAAGGCGATGACTAGACATGCATGCATACGTAGCACGTGTCCTAACCATCTCAGTCGATGTAATTTCACAGTCTCGTCTATTGATTTCCCCTCCTTTCCTAGCACTCGACCGATGCCTAACCTCAATATTGTTCACCTTATTATACCACCACTTCACACGGGAGATAGAACGCAGACACCTATGATGGAGGACAGCTAATCTTTCCATGTCTTTTGCTCTCAATGGCCAGGTCTCACAGCCATAAAGGAGGACGGAGCGGACTGTTGAGCAGTACACACGCCCTTTGGTCGATAGTCGGATATTGCGTCTACGCGAGAGACGACGTAAACTGGCGTATGCGAGCCTAGCCCTCTGTATTCGTGCTGAGATTTCATCAGAGATCAACCCGTTGGGGCTGATGGTACTTCCCAAGTAATTGAAGCGGTCAACGTGCTCTACCACTTCACTTCCTATTTCTAATTTAGGGGTCGGTGAAGTCCAATCCTGCAGCATCATCTTACATTTTACAGGGGTGAATCGCATGCCAAACATACGAAGATTGTTGCTCAAGGTGTCCAGAAGACTCTGCATTTTGTCAGAGTCCTCGCCTAGAAGGACTATATCGTCCGCATATTCTAAGTCAACGAGATTCTTCCCTGGTAGCAAGTCAATCCCTGAGTCGCTGAAGTGTGTTAGGCTTAAGTCCATTAGTACATCTATGATGAAGTTGAATAGGAGTGGGGATAATGGGCATCCTTGACGGACGCCACTAGTCGTCACCACTTCAGATGACAACTCGCCATAAGCCCTCACCTGGCTGCATGAGTACGAGTAGAGTGCCTTGATCAGTGCAATGTATTTTCTTGGCATTCCTTTTACAGCCAAGCATCGCCAGAGAACCTCTCGGTCGACAGAGTCGAATGCCGCCTTTAGGTCAAGAAATATAATGATTGTCGGACGCCGGTAACAATGCCTATGTTCTAGAATCTGTCGAAGGGTGAAGATATGATCAATACACCCTCTACCTGGCTCAAACCTGCCTGGTTTTCTCGTGTTTGTGTCTCCCGAGTACCACTTAGTCTACGCAGTATTATTGAGCCTAGGATTTTAGATACTATATTAGTCAAGCTAATCCCTCTGTGATTATCACAAGAAGACTTGTCTCCCTTCTTGTATATGGGGATAATCAGTGACTTACACCAACCCGCTACGGGACTTTCTCTGATTCCCAGACGCTGCCTAGTACCTCAGTTAATACAGACGGTAAACTGTCTCCACTGTACTTAAATACCTCTGGAGTCAATAAATCAGGTCCCACTGCTTTGCCTTGCTTCAGATTAGTCACAGCTTTAGTAACCTCAGTTAAGGACGGAGGACCTGTGTCTATATCCCATTCAGGGAGGGGTTGGATGTCCGGCAGGTTAAGTGTGGCTGTGGGCCAATTAAACTGCTCCTCATAGTGTTCTTTGTATATTTGAACATTCCATTCGACATCGTTTAATGTGAGCCGAAATCGCACGCTCAGTGATTGCTTAAAGAATACAAATTGTACATTTATAAATAGTGGTTTGATCACTTGAAAAGATACCTTGGCTTCCGTATCTTGTCTTCTGCTGTTACATTTGGTGTCGCTGCCTGCCAACAAATGGAAAGCGTACGCCCTCCGGTTTCTGAAAAAGGAAATATATGGATCTTCTGGCAGGAATTCGAGGCTGTTGCGGAATTGGATGGCGTTCAAGATCCGTCAGCGATGAGGCTGCTACTTGGAACGCTGCTGGGAGGTCTGGCGTAAGCAGCATATGATAGCGTGAGGCGAAACACAAGCCAACACGAGCCAGAGTCATGCTAACTGCTTCCAAAGTGGGAAGGACCATACACGCTCACCGTGAGACGGGGTCATGTATATACCATCAAAAGTGCAAATAAAGAGCAGTGGGTGAACAACAGCGAGCTCCGGAAATAGATACAACAAGAAAAACTAACAAACCTACCATTACCAAGAAGGTCGAACCAACTTCAGTCGAAAGTATTTCAAGGGGGGGGGACGGAGACGAATGTGGTGGTGTGATACAGACAATGTGTTCCAACGGAATATTATTCTCACATATTCCCACAGTTCAGTGCTACATTAGAAACAGAATACCAGATATGTACATTTGAACATTCTACTTCATGTCGTTTAATATTAGCCAAAATCACAAGCTCAGTGATTGCTTAAAGAATATAAAACTATATATATATATATATGTATATATATATATATATAAAGAGCGATTTGATCAATGAAATAATGTACTTTGGCTTCCTGTGTCTTGCCTTCTACTGTTACAATATGGCTACTGAGCAACTAGCGCCACGCCTTAAGCATAGGACACCATTGAGTGTTTATAGAACACAATTTAAACAAGCAACTATGTATTTTGGGCAAATTCTTATCAGGCGTTACAATTATATAATAAAAATTTTAGTCATAAACATTTGAAATAGAATGTTGATCCATAAAATCAAATAGAATCAAGCAGAATAATAATTATTATTATTATTTAAAATTGTGAAATAAAGATTAGAATATACAACTGCAATGCAGTATGATTATAAAATAAGGGTACAGAAGGTTGAAAATGAGGCAGACAGTAACTCATTGAAGAAGACATTGCGAAATAGTCGCGCTATGTCGTGAATTGGCAGAAGTTAGAATTCATGGACTGGTCATTGGATCGGTTGGGTATCAGTGGCCCAATGGTCTATGAACTCGCCAGCCTTGTAACTGGAAGCTCCCGGGTTCGAACTCCAGTGCAAAGTAGGTGTGTACTGTCGAAGAGTCCCAAAATGGGACGAAACGGCTGTCTGGCAGTACTCCCTGTGGCTGGTTTTCCAGTGTTTCTCTAGCTGATGTCAGCTTATTCTGAAATCCTTCCACCAATCAAACAAAATCCCTATAAAACCAACACTTGAAAAATTCAGTTAGCATTACAAATAAAAATAAAAATAATATTTACAGTTATCGGGTGTCATCTGAAGAGATAACAATCCTAATTTGAAGCAGTTGAAGGTTATGGAAGGCAGAGAGGTTGAACAAACACTTTTCGAAACCCAAAGGTTGGGTTAAAAAGTAGTTGTGTTTTGTTTACATAGGCCGTACAATTAGGCGTGTTTCTGGTCGGATTTTGGAACATCATCCTGCGTGGCTGGTTAAGTAAACGGCAAACAAAATCTGTTCACATAGCGCTATTCTATCTCATCTTGTGGATACAGAACACAAGATTGATAATGTTAACAAGGCGGCTTTCAAAGTCATTTACCGCATATCAACAAATCTTAATTTCACTTTAAGAGTTCGTCTACTACATATTACTGGGTCTCGATGTTGGAATCCGCATTAAGAAGCCTAACTTATGTATGTATTCAAAAGAAGATATTGGTTCAGACATTGTCCTTACCTTGGCTGTCAATCTAAGTTTGAATGATCCTCAATTTTTGTGGAATTTTTCTAATTTTAATTGATATTCTAGTTGTTATTATATCTTTATTATTATTATAATTTATGCATCTTTAATGAACTGTAATTCCATTGTGATCTCACTTTACAAAGCGATATTATTTAAAGAAAACACGAATATTGTTATTGACTACTAATCTAGAATATTCTATGCATATAAACATGCATTTATATATAATTGTAAAGCCAGAAGAGGGGGAATTTATCGTAAAGGATATTCTTTGCTCAATTATTTTGTGTTTTATAGATGTCTGAATGAATATTTTCGCTATATGGATGGTTTTATTGATAAAAACATTATATCCTGATGTCTTTCACATTTATTTTTTCTTGCCTCACCTCTTCAGAGCGTCGTCTTGGAGCTGATGAAGCACCTCTTCTAGTTCAATTAGATTGGACAGCTGAAAATCAAGAAGGACGTTTTATCCTGCGTGATGAATCTAAACCACAAACAATACAACGCTTTGTAAGTAATCCTTCTTTGTTTTATTGAGAGGTTCTCACTACTGCTTTTGTTACTACTGTTGTAACGGTAGTAGGTTATTCTGTACTGCTTGTGATCGTTTCTTAGAAAGTTGAGCCACATATCTACGAATCGTATTTTCACATGCTAAGTCTCATGTGATTGGTTGTTGAGTTCCTCAGGGTTAAGCTTTGTTATTGTTTTTTTCTCATGACCCTGATTCGGGACATCAATATTGACGTAAATTGTTGTCTGCAATTTTTGTCTTGCAGACAGCTCTCACCACACTGTGTAGTTCTTTTAGAAGGAATTACACGCACCATAGACACTTCCTGTCACTGCTAGCCGATGGCAGAATTACGAATTGTGGATAACTTTTAATTCGACAAGCACAGAAGGCAAATTATTCGATCAAGATGTCAACCTGAACTAGCCGGAGTATAAGGACCCATAGAGAGAGAGAGAGCTATAGTTTTTTTTGGACAGAAGTCAAACCCAGACTAGTTGCAGTACACCTGAATCACTCACACTCGTCAAAAGTCAGTGTGCTTTCTGACTACTAATTTAATGTCGTGTGTATCTCCAGCCACATCAAAAGTGGTTCGAGTTCCATTCCCAACCGACGGACCTTAGTCTCCGGTAATGAGCCTGATAAAGTAAAACGTTTTGGTTTGAGTCTAAAAACCACATTTCTTAAAAAAAGCAGTGCCATCGCCATTAAATCTTCTAAAAACTACAAAGTTTTACGACAGAAAGAACCATTGAAAACCAGGGAGTTTCATCCTAGTTTTGGGGATCATCAGCAGTACGCACCCACTGCCAGGTTTCGAACCCAGGACCTACCGGTGAAAACAAAACTAATCCTTACAAACCAAACTATTGAAAATTAATCTGATGCTCGCTAGTGACTTGTTACAGGATGGAGTTTCCTGGAGCTCTAGTGAGAAGTCGTGACAAGTGAGGTCCATCCAGTCAAGCGTGAGGATGGATTTTCCCCGACGACATTGGTTAGGGTCCCGCTAAATCACGAATTCATGCACTGACCATTAGATTGGGTCCTAGTGGCTGAGTAATGGTATACGAGTTTGCCTTGTGACCGGAAGGTCCTGGGTTTGAACCCCAGCGCACGGTGGGTGCGTACTGCTGATGATTCCCAAACTAGAGGGATGAAACAGCTGGCTGTCCAGTACTCCAGTGCTGCTTTTCAATGTTTCTCTAACTGATATCAATCCGTGATCAACTCGTAAAAACAAAACTAATCCTTACAAATCAACTATAGAAGACTACAAAGTCACACTTATATTGTATGATGCCTAACAATACTATTACTACCCAGTTGCCTAGGTCGGAAGTAAACACAGCGGAACTCGAACCTAGGTTCCATTAACTGAAATTTGAATGTTCCACTTTAACCCTAACCCCAATTCAAACCTCCACAGATTCTGTTTCTCCTCGAATTCTAACTGGGTTAGTGACAGCCTAGTCACCTACTCTTTTCCTGGACATAAAATTCATTTGTTTCGTAAGAATGTAGTCTATTTGAGAACTACTCATAGGCATGAACAAATAATGTGATAGGCCATACTATCCACCAATCAGATTATGATTCTTCAACATCTGTAGTCATAAAATTGTTTTTGAGGTGTGTTCAAGAATATCGATTTTTTCCCAGTTATTATATATATATTTATATATATCCTAAAACGGGCAACTTTTGGTAGACTACTCTCTTTTACCAACTACCAAGTGAACTAAATTATCGATCGAAGTTAGTCTTATTATATACATATATGTAAATTTTTAAAAGAAAATATTTATTGATTAAATCCAGGTAAACTGAGATTTCCCCCACCCACCCCCCCCCCTCCGCCTTGAATTTGCTAACTCTACCATTCCGTATGGAATAAGTAACTAACTATCATGCCATAAATATTAATGGCGTTTCTTAGTTAGTTTAACGTCATATGTCATATGTTATTAAAGAGGTGAGAAGGCATACTAGTTATGATAATAATAATAAGCCCCTTTTCTGAATATTCTTCCCCTTATAGTTATAATATTTTATTGTTTTGCATTAAACTGGTTCACGCCCCTTTTTTTTTTACTGTGCATACTTTTTGTTCTCTTTGCTTTTCGGTATGACTCATTCTCGAGAATATTGATTAATTAATTAATTAATTAATGGAGACCAGTTTTGTCTTTTTGCGTTGTTTTCCTTTTTTTTAAATATGAGATTCTTGGGAATTTTCCCCCTCTTTTGCTACCTGATATATGAGATAGTAATAGTAATAATAATATTAGGATCGAACAAATGGTATTCCGGAGTACTGGACAGCTTTTTCGTTGGCCTAGTTTGGGACTCTTCAACAGCACACATGCACCCACCTCCAGGGTTCGAACCCAGGACCTTCTGGTTACAAGGCTGGCGAACTCGTAGACCATTGAGCTACTGGGACCCAACCGATCCAATGGCCAGTCCATGAATTCTAACTTCTGTCAATTCACGACTTAGTGCGACCATTTCACAACGTCTTCTTCAATGAGTTACTACCTGCCTCATCTTCAATCTGCTGTATCCTACTGGTCACGGCTTCCCACTAGAACCCCAGGTAACTACCTAACTGAATAGGGTCAGTCGCTAGCTAGTGAGCATCAGATTAATTTTCAAGCATTGGTCCGAGAGGCTCAATGGTCTACGAGCTCGCCAGCCTTGTAACCAGAAGGTCCTAGGTTCGAAACTCGGTGGGTGCGTACATCTAAATGGCATTGCTCTGATTTTGCATGAACTAGATAGCAGAAATCAAATTGTTTGCATTACCAACCGAGATTAAAGGAGTTAGGTGACCAGTGTGGAGTCATGAATATCTGTTTTATCTTAGTTTACGACTTTTCTCCTCCTGTAGTACACAACTATAAAATCTTTAACATTATGAAGCGGTTACGTTGGTCATTCTCCCTCCTCACCCCCGGTTGCCTCACTTTTTTTATTCCTTTACGTTTCTAGTGGAACATAAGGCTTCAGGCAGGCTAGAGGCTTGAAATTTCGATAGCAATGGTATTTTGTTTTCACAGGATGAGGTTACTAGCCTCATGCCAAACCTTCCCTCTTTATCAGTCTTACTACTGACTTAGTGAGGTAAACGAGTGCTGGGGATCGAACCCTGAACCACCTGCGTGGTTTGGCGGGCATTCTACTGGTGTGCCACCGACACACCCTCTTTCCCACCTAATGAGATACAATCCAGTGTCACTGACCTGTAAATTCTGTATTCTGTCGATTCCTCAAGTATGCAGATAGTATTTGATAGACTTCATTGGTCGGAACTTCAGATTTAACACTTCGTAGTTAGTCAGTCTTGGATCCGACTCCCGGTAGAGTTGTAACAACAGAAGACAAGGGCCAGGCAACAGATCGTTTATTTACGAAATCAACACATATTTATAGATTTTCATGTACATTATTATAGATTATTGTAAGCAAACAAACACAGTCTTCTGATTGGTTGTTTCTCACTGAAAGTTAATCTTTCATCTCTTTGTGGCTGTTTCTTGAATGTCAGATCATCTATCTGCTAACTGTATCCGCCTACGCAAAGTCTTTGTTCTCATTTTTCTCACGACCAATATTGGGGACATAAACATTGACGTAAATTACTGTCTACCAATTTTGGCTAGCAGCCAGCTCTCACCACAGAGTCATGCATGCATATTTTTGAAGAAACTCAAGACTCTAAATGATGTCAGTTTATGATTTACATTCAAATGATTACTCTATTTTGTCTAATATTTTCATTACATATATATTATATAAACCTTGGTCCATTGTCGTAAAAGGTCACCTAGGTTGTTATACCATACTATGAGACGGTATACAAAGTGAATAAGCGGTTCTCCTAAAAACCAATCAATAAGTATATCAGTGGGCCAATCTATAGAATAGTTATCAGCCATACTGAAGGTCAGAGTTCGATTGCCGGCCGTCTGATGCTCTTCTAAACCTCGTCTAGTAGTCTGTCGGCGAGCAGCAAGCCCTGATATAAGGGAAGACTATACTTGAGGCTAGTAAGCATTGCTTCTGAAACGTCATAGCTCGAATGCCCTATATTCCTACAGGAATTAAAAGGGGGCCAAGATGAACCTTAAGCAGCACTAGCTACCAATGAAGTGAGACCGCACCAATGACCTTGAAGAACTCACTGAGCAAGTTAGTGAGACCTGGCAAATAATGTTGTCACCACCAATAAAACATGCTCATCGAAGTGTTATGCTATTAAATGGGATACCTGGTAAGTTTCAGCTTAGGTTTGGGAAAGATTAAGTTACTCTTTAAGCCAAGGACAAGTTAGGGCTAGGCTAACATAATAAAGGCGACATTAGGGTTGATTCGAGTTAGATTACAGTTAGTTTAGGGATATTTTCACGTTAGATTTAGGTTCAGGAAAGATTAAGATTATTGTTGGGGTAGAAGATCCATATAATTACATGCATAGAATGTGGTTAAATTACTCTGTTGATGATATAAGAACAGAACTTGTGCACTGTGGCGGTGAAGTATAATTCCATTGTCGGTAAAATTTATTTTGATAAAGTTTCACAGAGGTGTTATGCAGTAATATTTACTGATGACTACGTTTCGAGCACAACTTATTCGTCAGGAAATATTATCGTATTACACTATGAGAATTTATCAAATTTATCATGCAATCAAACAAAATCCCTAAAAAACCAATACTTGATAATTAATCTGATGCTGACTAGCCAGCGACTGGTCCTATTCAGGCAGTGACCTGGGGTTCTAGTGGGAATCCGTTACCAGTAGGGTACAGCAGGTTGAAGATGAAGCAGGTAGCAACTCATTGAAGAAGACACTGCGAAACGGTCGCGCTGTGTCGTGAATTGGCAGACGTTAAAATTCACGGGCTGGCCACTGGATCGGGTCCCAATGGCTCAATGGCCTACGAGCTCGCCAGCCTTGTAACCAGAAGGTCCTGGGTTCGAACCCC